GGGTGGCCCCGGGGCCTGCCGTGCCGTACCGTGCCGTGGCAGCCGAAAAGTTGGTCTGCTTGGGGACGGGCTGCCACGGGAGCACGAAGAGGGGTTATGCCCCCGATAGTCTGCCCAGTTCCTTGTTCTGAGTGAGCAGTGGTGCTGCGCTCAGATACCCTGCCTGGACACCCCAGGGGCGCTGTGGGCATAGTGCTCCCATCCATGTGAAGGCACAGGAATACTGCATAATTGCATTACTTTTAAAATAAAAGAGCTTTCCGAAAGGCAGGTCTGCAGTCTGATTTTTTTTTTTCAGTCTGCAGACTTTGCAGAGGAAGTTCAAGCTCCCCCACATAAGGTTATAACTTTAAAGTTGCTACCAGGCAGCACAGACAGGAAACAGTGACCTCAAGGTGAAATGTTGTGTATTCGATTACCAATCAACTCCATCTTCCAGCCCTTTATATTTATGGGGCTTTGCTGTAGGAGACTATATAGCAGACATTACAGTTTTCAGCAGACCTTTTAGTACCCAACAGGCCTCTGGAAGGCCTTTCTTTCTCTCCTCTATCTGCTCTTCTCCCTCGGCCCTGAAAAAAAAAGATGCTAGAGCTAGATAAATTTAGTTGAGATTGGCCTTTTTCCAGAAGCTCAACAATGCCAGTTTTATTTGAATGTTTCTAATTAGTTTTGCAGACTTAATCTCTGCTCTCTCCCTACAATATAAATATATAATGATATATTATGACTTTTCTCTAATGAAAACAAGGAGAGAAGAACATGGAATTAAAATGGTCAGATCACCTGAGCGCTATTGTATAGCATAACATGGTGGTTAAGTAGGAAATAGATATAGAGTTTTCTGGACAGGGATAACTGCTTTTTGTTTTCGTCCTTTATTTTATTTTATTTTATTTTTTTTAAAGAAATGTGGATCTCGCCCAAAATGGAATCCTGAGCTATTTCCAGGAGATACCTTTTGCAGATTTCAGTACTCATTTTGTTACCTGTGTTGTCTGTTTTAAAATGCTTTTAGTTATGTGCATTTGCTAGGTGCACAGGAGCCTTTGTGCTAGACAAATGCCAGAGAAATTATTTGTAAAATTACAAATCTATTAAACCAAGTATTTCTCTGTAGTAAGTTCTTGTCCGGAGTAACTAAGCTATCCAAACAGTCATACATACAGAATGCACAGTTTTCAGTAGACGTAAGCAGAATGGCTTTCAAGTGTTGGTTTTAAAAATCTGGCTGAAAACAGTATAAATATACAGAGTTTTAAAAATATTACAGGAAAAGTAAATAAGAGATGGCCCATCAGCTTTGGAAACCATCCTGTTCAGTGTAAAACCTGCACATGCAAATGATTCTTTGCTCTAGCTAGTTATATTATAAAGTTTTCCAACTGTGCAGTTCCTCATTTGCTTGTAATTTGCTGGGTGTGGAGACCTCACAAAGGCCCAGGATTTTTGCTGGAATATTCTTGAGGTAAACCATTTGTCATGTTTTTGAAATTCCATTTTCTAGATTTTGGCTGTTGATAGCCTTATTCTTCAAACAGAGACCATGATTCATATTCATACTATCTTCACAGGTATTCATGAAAAATGAAATGTTCCATATAACCTGATCACTTTCAATGTGAGCTTTATACAAGCAGTTTTGTTCCACAGAAGTATTTTTTTAGAGAATGATTTTGTGATATGCTTTGAGCAGGTTACAGTAACTCAATATATTATTATTTTGACTCTTTTTTTTTTTTTTTGAAAAGCAGTGGTGTAGTTTGGGTATAGTATCACAACTATAAATTGTGATGATATAGTCATTTAATTTTCATGGGAATTAATTATTTGTCTTGTTCCTGACTGTTTCCTTTAATTGTTGGGTTCGTTAAATTTGCTGAGGAAACACAATGTTGTCATCCAGCTCTGAATTTTGAAGGAAGATTTTACATTATAGAATTTATTCTGCAAGCCATTTTTGCTAATAGAAAATGCCCATGCTACTGAAAAGATATAGCATAATATGCCTTGCCTTGGAAGCTAGAGCTCCTGAATTCTAATTTTAGCCTTGCTACTGTCTCTTTGCATTTTCTTAAGCAAGAATCATGTATTTAAGACATAACTGGTTTTAAAAATGGTTAATGGAGCCCTGATTTTACATTCAAGTTAGCAAAAATGTGACCATGAATAAAAGATTGCAGGAGACTAAGCCATGGTTTTCATATATTCAGATTAACCTACGTTATTTAAAATTGTGAGTATACAACCCTGTAAAAATCAAGAAACTGCCAGCTGAAACCAGTTGTCATATTTTTCATGAACACAGGCTTTTCCATATTTCTATCTGTAAAAAAACAGGCAGTGTTATATATGTACCTCACACTGAACATACACAATGTTAGCTAATTATGTATTATTAAAAATAATAAACAGTTGACCTTTCAGGACTTGCTGGTTTCCTCATCACAAACATAACTATTCATGTTACAGAAGTGAAGGTCTAAAATGCTTAATTCTGAGAAACTGTTAATATCCCTACATTATTGCAAACTGTATCAGTGAAGTGCTATCTACCTTCAAGGACTCAGGATACTGCACCAACTAAAGGAGGGTTCAATCTTGAAGCTGCTGACAGATTTGAGACGTTACGTTCATGCTTCTCTGCCCATTTCCTTTTTGTCTGCTTTCCTTGCAGATGGGACTCATAGTGTTTTCTCACAGCATCTGTGGTACCAGTTGGGTCACCTGCAGTATTCTAGACAGGGCTTTTCATAAGGGGGTAATGAGTGAGTCAAAGGGAAACACCTTGGACATAGTTTAAATTACTTTAAAACAGTCCCTAACATGGGTGTTTCTGTCCTTTTCTTGCCTTCCCTTACCTCTGCTCTGTCTGAACAAATGCCCCAAGTTCCTATCTGGTCTCTGCCTTACGAAAGCATTAATAGTCCTGTTCCTTGTGTCACTACATAGATGTTGATAAACTTACAATGAAAACAGATAATAGCACATCAGACATTTTATTCTAAACTACTGATAATTCTTGAGGGTAAAATACAGCCATAATAGGAGCTTTGTTGGTTGTGACTTTCAGAATTAACCTGAACAATGATTGTGGAGAACAATCATTCATCAGACAGGAGGTGGACTGAATGGTTTCTGAAAGGTTTTTTTTTCATCTCTTCTTCCTATTATTCACTCCCAAGAAAAACAACTTCTTTCAAAACCCATTGATCTGTCAAGCAATTCAGGCAACACTCTACTATAAACGCTTCCCAAAGAAAAAAAGGTAACATGGCAGTTCTGGAACTGATGGAATTCACATGATGTAAATTCAATTTTGCAAATCCACCTTAGTGTGATGCAGATCCCGATCAATTCACGGTGGTTCTAATGCTATTTCTTCCGCTTCGCGTTTCTGATAACTC